AATTCAGTGTGTGTTGGTGAAGATTATTATTAGATTATCAATTTGGGTAGAGTTTTTTTTTTTTTTTTCGGAAATTGGACCCTATTTCCCCCCAAAAAACTATCTATAAACTTTTGAAAAACTTTCTCCCTGACTTGTCTGCTGTGTCCTTGGTCTCCTTGATGCTGTTTATTTACCAACTTTTCTCTAAATATCTGAATCCTTAAAAAATAACAAATGATTTATACTGACTTTTTTGGGAACACAGAATTGGATATTTCATGTTTCTGAGGAAGTTTCTGGGGAAGCTGGTTTCTCTGGGTCGTATTTAAGGTTAGAGTAAAGGGCAGAAAGGCATACAGAGTTTTTAGACCCAAGCATTTCCTCCAACTCACCAGTTATTCACTGCTTTGTTTCAGTCTATCACAAAAGGTCGTTCAGTTGGACCCCAAGTCCAACTGAAAGAAATTTAACACCTCAAATGTGTCGTGACATTTGAAAAAGGACAACTTATTATTTTAGATCAAAAATTGCAAAAAAGTTCATATTAAATGAAAAATGTTTCTTTTTTTAAATGTTATTCAGAAAAAGAAAAGAGTTTTATTCTATTTCAAATTCAGTTCAAAATCATTTTATTCATCAAAAAATGAAGTTAAATGTTGAAATAACTCTAACATTTTTTTATTTCGCCAGTTCTTGTAGAGTTTAATAACTAAGCAGGGAAATCTTCTGTATCCGTCTGTAGCTTTGGATCTGGAAAACCCTCTTAGTGATGACACTGTTTTTATTAGAAAGTTTTCTGAAGATGAGTCTTACTGTTTTCCATAATGTTCTACATATAATGAAGAATTAGTCTTTGTGAAAACATCTCCAGATCAAAAGGATGTTGATGTTTGAGGGAAGTTATGATTAAAAAAAGGCCATTGTGTCGAACTAAATGGAAAAAAACACTTATTCTAAAACAACAATATTGGCCATTTCAATCTCATTCCATTAAGGAAATTTATTGGAATTATTTCTTGAGAAAAACAGGATAAATTCCCAAAACCTGCAGTTTTTGTTTCTGTTTTAATACTCCTTTACAATTTATTAGCTGTTATGGTGACTGAATAGAGCCCTGGTGGAATGAAACCAAACGTTCTTGGATGTGGTGTGAAAAAGTTGTAAAAAGTTCAAAGACTGTGAATAGTTAGTTTTGTGAAGAACTTTTTTGGGGTTTTTTTAGTCAATATGCTGGAAGAGAATATAAGCATAACTGCATAGTCATTGGATGTAAATAATCAAAGCAGTTTTTTGTAATTTTATTTCCCTTTTTTTTTTTCAAGATCTCAAACCACCGGAATTAGTCTTATCAGAATATACATTGTTTGGACCATAGTTTATTACAATTAATCCGTGAAAGGTTCCATGTAATCCTAAACAGTTCAGGCAGAATAAATCCCACTTTTTCCACTAATATTTAATTTTCAGAAAAATGTTACTCTAAATGGCTTAGTTTTATATTTTCAAAGCAGAGAACAGCTTTAAGCTCATTGTTATAATAGATTTAGGTTATTTGTAGAACCTACAGCAGGTTTAATTGCTATTTATCAATTTAGTCACAAATTAGTTGAAATGAAGGCAACATTTCAAAGGTTTTAGTTTTTTAGCAGGACACTTTTTGTCCTAACACAAAAAAAACTATTTCAAAATAGGTAGAAATGTCTTAAAATAAGTGTATTTACCCTTAATTTAATTAGGTAGATAAGATTATTTTTGCTAAGTAAGATATTTAGATATCATGCACTTGAAATAGGTCCTTAAATCTTTTTTATTTGAACCATCTTATTTCATTGGTAAAGTTTCTCCTTTACCTGCTTAATTCAAGAAAAATGCACTTATTATAATGCTGAAATTCAAGTTTTTTTCGTGCACAGAAACATACCCTGGATTCTTTTTCCACATGCTTTTAATGCATTAAATGGTAATGAACTACGAATGTCTGCAACTAACAAAATCAGCCTGATTAAAACAAACTCATATGATTAAAAGCTTTTAAATGTGACTTGGAGTGACATGATTGTTCAAAAATAAACACTGTATCATAGTCGTTTTCTTGAACTTAGATGAAGATCATTTCTGACTTTTTCTCTTTAAACTGAGACACAGTCATGAATGAAAAACATAAACTTACCACTGATTTGTTTGAAAATGTTATTTATTTTTTCTTACAAAGTTTCATCATGATATTTGTTACAAAAAAACAATATTCTTTAAAAGAAAATATTTACCTAAATGTATCTCCACTAAAGAAGTTTGAATTTAAAATGTTTTTGCCACATTGCGGTTTGGTTTTAAAGACCCATCTTCAAAAATGAGTCTCATTTTTTCCTCAAAGGGTCTCATAATCTAAACGCTCTCTGCTCAAATGGGCTCACAAACAGCGTAAATAAACAACCCCGGGACAGACCCAGAGGCTGGAGCTGGTTAGCCTTCACAATTTCAACATTTTAATTTGTTTGTTCCAATCTGCCTGAAAACGGTGACCTAACTCCTTCATAGTGAGCACATGTGTGGAAGAGTGCAGGGAAAGGGTAAGATTTCAAGATGGAAAAGAAAAAAAATGTCCACATTTTTCCAACATCCAGACAGAGCAATTCATCAGGAACTTTGATGCACATCTTTGAAAGGAGATAAAAAATAAAAAAAAGTTTGTGGAAATGCAATACAGAACTGAGAGGGGGGCTAAACAAATGTCATTTTTGGATGGCGGGAGAATAGGAGAGATGATGAAAAAGAAGCATTCCTGGGAATTGAACTCACTGGCTTACTGTTTCCTGGCCTTGATTAGAGAGATGCAATGATTCGTGGAACATTAAGATTAAGATCTTAGCTGTCCAGCTGAAAATTATAGAAAGGAAACTCTTGGTGTCTTTATCGGGAGTGACATTGGTTTTTATAAGAGGAAGTGCCATTACAGCTTGCACTTATGCACTCAGGCTGCAGTGAAAGCAGTTTCTAAAGGTTGCGGTTTTAACCTGTTATGGGCTTAATTCAAACTGCTTGATTTTCAGTTCCTTTTAAAAGCATTCACACTCCTTTCGCTTTTTCCGCATAAAGCAATGCATAATGTTGAAATAATAAAAAAAAATGTTTTACAGATATTTTACAAAAGGCAAATCTAAAACATTTGGATTGCATTTCTTTACAGGCCCTTTAGCTTAATGCTGCTGAATAAAATATCCTTTAGAAATCATGTCCTGTTTTCTGAAGTATGTTACAGAACATCTTCATCCAATTCATAGGTTTGGGAACTTTTCATACAAAAAGCACAATACCGAGTTCTTAAAATCAACAACTAGACTAAAAACATAGGCCGACTAGTAACACTTTAGCTTTCCCTGAAGCTTTAAAAAAAAAAACCTGATTCAGGAGCAAAAATATATGCCCTACTTTACTTTCTTACAAACCAATATTTATATGAGCTACTTCTTCAACAATATAATTCAAAGTATAAATAACCAACATTTATTTAGGCTGCTAAAAGTGAAATTTCATGGTATCCTGTAGGCCTACAAAGAAAATACTTTTCTTCTCGCATCAAAATAATCATAAGTAAACAGTCAAAACTATTTCTAAAACTAAAGAAAAACAGACATACAAGACTAAACTAATGGATAAATCCTATTTTCTTATTAATGGTCTTATTTTTTCACCATTAAATTAAGTCTTTGTGATAAGGAAAAAATTTATATAACATATTTTTGGTCATTTTGAATCAGAAATAGCAAGCATGAAAAAGCAAGCAGAAATATTTATTTCCAGGTACTATTAATAGATTATAAAAAATAAAAACATAGGAGAGGTATTATTTAAGAGCGTGGTTTATTATCAAATCATGGAAAGTTTATATACCTCAAAAGTTTTTGTTCTGCTATCTGTAAAGTAGAACTACGGGTCCAGTAAAGACATCAGAAGGCGCTCTGTTCACGTGAAATAAAGAGAACTTTTTGCTTCCCATGTGAGTCTATCTAAGCGAAACCGGTTTGTTTGGCTGCTCCACTTTAAGCTTCTCTGTTCCATCTGAGTAAACTTTAACTTCACAATGAATAACCAAACTTGGCAGAATGGAACGCACAGCAGCCAAGTAAATCATAAATTATAAATAATAATCAGTTTGTGTAAGATTGCAATGAAAATGGACTACTTAGGTGCAGCACTTGGTAGGATGTTATAATCCAGTTTTACAATGATGATCTGCACAATAATGACCCATTTGGGCAGATGGATGGAGCCTTCACTAGTCCTAAAGCAAATATCTGAATTAGATATTAAAGCATTGTGGACTTAAGGAAAACATTCAGACTTGATCAATAACCCCACATTTAAATCTCTCAGAGAGAAATAATCAATGGATTGCTAACCCTTTGATTAGTTTGGTTTTTTATGATAAAAGATGTGCAAAAAACAAAAAATAAGCTTCTAAGAAACCAGGAAAATCTTTATTGGTAGAACAGCAACCATACTATTCTTATAATCCCCTCAGCAGCTGTTTACATTTTCTCATTTTTTGCATTTAGCTCCAGGTCTCCAAGGTCAGGAGGCCTTCTTGTTGTTGCTCTAATTTTTAGCTCCCTTCACAGCTTCTTCATTAAATTCAAACTCAGCCACAGTAAAATGTTCATATTTGGATCATCCTTGTATATAAAAAAAAAATTGTAATAAAATAGCTAAAAAAATGTTTTCGTTGCCACTGCTTGGAAACTACTTGCCCTATATAAGGAACAAACCTTTATGCAAAACCTTCTAATAGAGTTTAAAAAAATAAAATAAACCAATAAAATTCTAGAAATTGTTAGCATTGGGGGCCAAGACAAAAAAAAAATAGAGAATCTGAAACTAACAGTAACTTCATTTTGTTTTTCTCGTCAATTCATATTTAAAATATTTTTAATGGTGTGTGGGGGGGGAATGCTTGTTTTATTACCAGCTACTCCTTAATATCAAATATTGTAACACATTTCTTTTCTTTTTTTTTTTTAGTCAGGTTGATATCAGCTTCAAGTCACAATGATGCTGTCAGCAATAAGAGACAAAGAAATGCCCCCACAGCAGCCAAACCTGACAAGCCTACAAGACAAAGTAGCTTTTTTATCTCCAGAACATCCAGTGAACTCCTAGAGATCACCCAGGGCCACCGCTGTCCAACAACTGAACTCCTTCAAATATTTACAGTCTCTTAACCTGCAGTTTGAACAGCAGTGTCCATCAGCCCTTCTTTGAGCGCACGCAGTTGGACCCGACAGAGGAGCATCTTCCTCATCATCAGCTCTGTTTAGGCCGTTTCTTATGAGGCGCTTCAGAGTCCGTATCCGCCGACTTCTTGGACGCAGCTTTTTTTTGCTCTTTTTCCTCAGGATCATACAGAGCATTTCTCAAGAAACGTGAAGCAGCTCCCTTGTCTAGACGTGCAGCTTTCTTCTTGTCTGTAATCTCCTTCACTCTGTTCATATACGTCCTTATGCGCTCCTAAGGAAAAACCGAAAGAGGGTAATCAGGAGATCATCCTGGGTACAGAGAAAGAATCAGAGCATTAAAGAGAACAAACCAGCTCCTGTTTGATTCCATGTTCTCTTGGGTTGATCCCCTTTGTCACCAAGTACACTGCAAACAACAAAGAGAGTTAACACCACTACTTCCCAATAGACTTAACCATTATGCATTGGTTCAAAGAATACATGAATCAATAACTTACTCCAGAACAAGGAATTAAGAGTATAGACAGACATCAGATCCAGCTTGGCTTGATCCAAAGGATCCAGCTGGAAAGATAGTTTATTACATGTAATAACAGTTTTATAAACACAAACCATAAACTTAAAACAGGTCAAAATAGAAAAATAGATCCCGCAGAAATCAGGGTATTTAAGCTTTACTACTAGATATCCTGTGGACATTATTGGCAGTAAGATCAACAAGTCTTACCTTTTGCATCTGGTCGTTTCTCGAAATGGAGATCAGCTTCTCCAACATTGTTTTCACCGCATTCACCGAAGAATCAAAGCTCGTCAGCTGTTCGTCTATCTCCTGCGGGTATTCCTCGACTGGCGCTACCGCTGCCATGTTCCTGCAAAGTTACAAGCCAAAATATTTCAGTAATCTATCTGTACCTCAGAGAAGCACGCGCTGGCTAGCTAGCAAGCTAGCTAATGCGCTAGCTTCCAATACAGCTAACAGCGGATACATGTCTTGATAAACATTAAAACAGATAAAATGCAATGTTAACTACACCTAAAACTAATAAGAAGAATCTATCAGTTCACCTCAGACAACTTAATGACGGCATTTACCTTCTTTAGGAAGCTTAACGTGCTGACCAACACCAAACAGGAAGTGAAATACAACAAGTAACCTTTTGAACTCTCTCTAGCGCCACCTGCCGGTTGGGAGAGTCACTGCGCACACCTTCACTGCTTCATTTTGTTTTTACTTTTAAGTTGTTTACATTAGTTTAAGGGGTTATTAATAAACTTATTAAATTTTATCAATATTACTGGTGTTTCAGTCATAATTCATTTTGACTGAAAAATAACTACAAAATTAAATACAAATAAATATAAAGTAAAACTATGAGATTCTATCTCATAAAAAAAACATAATATAATACATCAACTATGAAGTATTTAACAAAAACACAAAATAAATAAATATGTGATGCTTTAGGGGGGAAATATAGAAAGCAGAAAAGAGGTGTTGCTGTTGCCTGGGAAACCTGGGACGTCATTATGTGTAAATAAGAAGACCAGTTCAGTTTCATCCCTGTTCAGAGCTGCAGACAGTCCTGACAGACAAAAGGCTAAAGTCATGGATAACTGTGATTTAGAGAAACTCTCCATCTCTGCTGGGAAGCTACATCCAGCCTTCTCACCACAGGTTACAGACTATAAAGTGACAGTGGAGAGCAGGGTCAGCAAAGTCACCCTGGACCTGAGCACCAGTGATTGTGGAGCATCATACAGCATTGTAAGTGTCAGACTTCAAATTTTTTTTTTCTTTTCTTTTATCTTAAAGAAATTTCTTTGCATTTCAGTTAGACTCTTGTTATGTTTTTTCAGCTGTCTGGTGACCGTTCCAGCACTGTTAAACTGAAGGATGGGTTGAACAGAGTAGATATTGAAGTGGTTGCTGAGGATGGGACGGTGAAGAAATACAGTGTGGAAATAACTAAGCTATCAGGAAAAATTGCAGAGCTCACTGATCTGTCTGTAGAAGGGGATTTTCCACTGAATCCAGCCTTTACCACTAAAGTCCATGGATACAGCAGTAAGTAAAAGCCTTAGTAATCTTACCCAAGATGTTAATGTGAAGGGTTTTCCTTTGGCGATGAGGTCTGTGATCATATTCCCAAATTAAATGCCTAAAAAGTAGCCTATTATTATAATTAGTATTAGTATTTTTTTGTTTTGTTTTGTTTTTTTATGTTGTGCAGTTTGAGGTAAACTAACATTTTGCTTTTTATTTACATGCAGGTTTTGTCCCATTTTACTGCAATGTTGTGACACTTGTTGTCAAGGTCCCTGACAGCCTTATTAAAGTGACAGTAAATGGGAAGAGCAGCTCTCAGCCTGTGCCACTGCATTTTGGGGACACTATGGTGGAGGTTTCTGTCTGCTCAGCAGATGGCAGTGTTTCACAGGTATACAAGCCCCAGAGAGGATTACCAAACATTATATATTTAGTCTCATTTAAACATAATCATATCATTTAATGTTATTTTTGTTGTATTTTTTTTTTGAGTAGCCCCTTTTGCTGGCTTCTTATTAATAAATAGGAGGACAAAATCTAAATTTCAGGAGATTTCATTTATTAAGGTAATTTAATTTTCACGAAGCTCTGGTGCATTTATCATTAAATGCAGCTGTCTTAATGTTGCAGATGTACACTGTGCTGGTGACACGGGAGCTGCTTCCCATGGCTGTGACCTTCACTGAAGGGAAAAAGCAGCTGGATTATGAGTGCCCTGTATCCCTCAGTGCTCTGTACAGACCCATGTCTGTCCACCACAGGTGACACCTCGGAATTATGGACAAATGTTGACAGGATTTTAACTGTATAGTTATGAAAATGAGCTTTACATTTTGTTAGCCTACAGACCAATAATTTGATTTGTAACTATTCCCTTTAATTGTATCAGGTTTACACTGGAAAAACGATCTAGAAATAGATACAAAAAAATGTAATTAAGTGTAAATACCCTTAATTTAAGTGGGTAAATTAGATAGTTTGCCAATGGAATGAGCATTTTTACTCTTAAAATAAAATAATTGGATAATATGCACTTGAAATAAGACAATGCAATTGTGTTTTATTTACCTCCTCAATCCAAGAACAAATGTACTTATTTTAAGAAAAAATTGCTTTTTTTTGTTTTTTTTTTTTTCCGTTTTTTCAAAGGTTTTTTTTTTCAATTTTTTTTTTTTTTTTTTTGTTTACTCCAAATCTTCATGCAGTAAAAAAAACACCATCAAAGCAAGTATCGGTTTCAGGTGATGCTGAAGTCCCTCCGCTTTTCATCTTCGAACCCTCAGAACCATATTAGCATAGACACATTGGACAGACAACAGAATTGACTTTATTATTAAGGAGTCAGTTTAATTCATCGCCTTTTCATGTTTTTTTAGATAGAGATTTTGCAAGTCAGAAACCTGCATAAAGCATTTTTATTTGTTTACTTAACAATACAACTTATATGAATTTCATAATCTGGATTTAAATGAATTGTAGATTTCCTCGATGTCACAGAGTCAAAAGCCTGAAACATACCATGTAAAAAAGAAGGAAGCAAATATTTACACTGTTAATGAGGCATTTCCTAAATCCTCTTCCTAAATCCCAAATAGATTATTCTGCTTCTGTTTAGTATCATTGATTGGATGTAACTTGAAGAAACAACAATTGCAGGCAATTGACCATTTTTCTCTTTTTTTAACAAATAGAAAAACAGAGAGCTCTGTACTGCCTGAAAAAGTCCCACACAACCACACCAGCCTGGCAGCTCCTCTTCATGAAGGTCTCCAGCTTAGCCACTCCCTGCTGGGATGGCATCCTGTCACAGAAACAGCAGATCTGCTGATCTCGCTGTTTTGGTCACTCTGCCATGAACGGCAAACTCAAGCTAAAGTGTTCAGGGCTGCAGGCAGCCCATGGTTTTCTATCCACTCCCAGACTCTCTCTTATGAACCAACCCTTGATGAGCTCAGTGCAACACCCAACCAGGTAGATAGACATCCGTCTGTAAGAGTGGAGACATGGGATTGTCAGTGATTGCTGAATCTTATCTCTATGTCTTTTTATAGAGATTGACTCTATAAACTTTGTCATTTTGATTAAATGTAAACCCACACACTTAACTTTCCAGAATTGTGGCATCATTTAACGGGTAAACAAATAGTGGGACACTTATTGCCAAATATAAAATGACCAAACATCAGTTTCTTTTTTTATGTTTATGGAACATAACTGTTCCACACATGTTCTAATGTCCTTTAAGTGGAAGAGAAACCATCCACTTTTTCCAAATATCATATATGAAATTTGACCTTCATCCTTTTTGTTCAGTGAGCAAGTGCCAAACCCTTATGACACCACCACTATGTTTACATTTAGAAAATCTTCTGAGTCTGAGATCTTCATCCAAACTTTTCATCTGGTTTTTTTAAGGTTAAGTAACTGAGGCATTCCCTCATCAGTCCATAAACGCCTATGTAGAAGACATATGGTTTGTCTCTGTTGCTGGATTAAAAAAGGTCTGCTCAACCTTATTGGAAATGTAAGGAAGGCCATGCATGGAGGCAGGGTTTGTGTGAGGAAGACAATCAGTTTAAATCAACTCCAACAACCCTAGAAAGGAGACTGACTAAATATCAGCCAGATGGAGTTAGAAGTTTGTTTATGGCTACACAAAACATGTCATGCATGCAAAGCTTTCTACAGAACATCTGTATAAATATTAGCGAGCTGTACTGTGTGTAAATGTTTACACCTATGAAGAATGGAGAAAACCTACAATAAATTCAAGCTTGTTTTAAATAAATCACAGAAATAATAAGAGCAGTTCAAATAAATATTCTACACGCAGGACGAGAGCATGGAAAGATCTGACCGTAGCTAACCTACCACTTCTCCCCACACACATATTAGCGCTTTACAATTACGTTCTTTCAGTTAGTTAACGTTATAGTACTAACCTTATTCTGAAGTTAACTTACTTACACCTCTAAACCCCCCTTCTAACAGTGAAAATGAGGTTCCACCACATTAAGACCAGAGTTTGATCTCCTTAAGACCTGTTGGTCCTCAGGGGATCAGTAAATATATTAGAAAAGATCCTAAATAGGTATCATAAACAGGCACACACACACACACACACACACACACACATGTTCTTGTCTTGCTATATGTAGTGAGAACCAAATATTGACCCCCTATTTATTTTTGTCATCCTAATAAACCCCTTCCATGTCCTATAACCCTGATGATAAACCTTAACCTGACTATTACCAGTGCATAACTCACCTTAACTTTAAGCTAAACTAAACTTAAACTTTAGTCTTCAATCTAAACGTTGGATTTAAAAATCAAGTAGCAAATGTTTTTAATTTTCTAATGGGGCTTTGGTCTCCATTAGGTGCAGGGTCTCCTCATAATGTTTTATATTCCTGTTAAAAAGTTCTTACTGTTCCAGCCAGGTAACAAATACATACCCAAAAGCACACTTTCACTGCAGCACGTTATAAGTCAATAAATTAAATTCCACTGTTTTACAGTAACCCAAAGAGCATCTTCTCCAAGCCTTACATTGAGTTGCTGGCCCGGCGATCACGGGTCGACCCACTTAGCGGCTGTCCTCTGGGAGATTGCTGGAAGGTCCCTGAGTTGGAGCTTGATAAAAAGATTTCAGCAGCTATGGTCCGTTGTTTTTTTCATTACCGAGGTAAAAATCTGGAGCCTCGGTTTACATAAAAATCTATGTTTTTCTAAACTGAACCTAATTTTTAGCTCAGCTGAAGTGATAATTCACATTCTGCTTAGAAATAAAGAGATATTTCACATATGGGACTTTTGAATAGTTGAAATATGTTTTTAAGTAATAAATTATAAAGAGTAATTTTGTCACTTCTTGGATCCTTAAAGATTTATGTCCTCATTTCACCCTGAAGGGTAGCTTTACCCATTAGAGGTGCTTGAATAACAACATTGTTAATGTGCTAGGTGCTCTCTGTCTAACCTCTACTCTAACCCATCCTGTAATATCAAATAACGTGGTGGTACTGTAGACAAAGATTATGTTTCTTTATTGAAAGGGGTATTATTTCTTAAGTAAACATGTTGTATCCGGCTGGCATACATGCCTTTCTTTCTGTTATATGTTTCCTACAGTGAGGATTTCAATACAGGTAATTTTTTCAATATGAAATAAATGATTTGCATTTTTCTTTTATGTTTTCTTTTTTTCCACTAAACAGGATGTGACAGCGTGATGCAACTATCTGAGCTCGGGCCGCACACCCTGGACTGTCCACTCCAACCCACAGGGGACCTGGATGCAAAGGTTAAAATAAAAGATGAAGCAGAGCTCAGCAGTGCCACAGTCGTTCCTATTGACCCTGAATTTGCTCATCCTTTATTTAAAACTGCTCTCACAGACTCTAAGCTACTTTAATCTCCACCTTAAAGCATGTGTTTGGTTGTGTGATGTTGATTTCTATTTCTCAGCTTTATTCATTTGCTATTATAACTCCATCACTGGACTCTTTCAGAATCATTGCTTTTTTATTCAGGATGTGACAGAAACCAACTGGTATAAGCAGCACTTTCTAACATCTGGAGGTTTGGAGATAGAAACCAAGCATGTTTATAAGGTAATTACCTCCTGTTTTCTGACCTCCTGTCCTCAGATTTTACACAAGTGTACATTTTGTTTTTATACAGACAATTTATAACCTGAAAAAAACGCAATTTTTACCAACATATCCTTTATCAAGTTGCTGATTATTATGTTTTTTATGCCTTAATTCAAAACCTATTGCCAAAAGTAATGGACAATTTGTCTTTGTACCAACCTATCCTTAATGCATAGAGTAAGACATTAAGTTTGATGTTTTAAATTCCAAAAAATTGAAATAAAAGTAAAGAATTTTCCTTAAAACAATTAAATTATTTATTTAATTGAGCAGGTAGGTGAGACAATTTGCCAGTGGAATAAGACAATTTAGTTTCAAATAAGAAAAAAAACCAAATACAGTCTAATTTCAAGTGCATAATATGTAATTGTCTCATTTTAAAATATTAATTCCATTGATCATCTTATTTACCTACTCAAATGAAGGGCAAATACACTTACATTTGTATTTCCAGTTTTATTGTTGGATTTTCTGACCACTCTTCTATTTTAGAGGTCAGGCACTGGTGTTGGACAGCACGGCCTGTAGAGTCTGTTCTAAGTCATTCTAAAGTTGTTTTTATTAGGTTGGGGTCTGTGCAGCTCACTGCGGTTTCTACAAAACAGATTTATTGGATCCACATCCTAATGGACTCTGCTTTGTTCACTGATCCTCATTTCTTCCGGAGGCCAGCCGTAGAGTTTAAAAACCTAATGCACAGCAATCATGCATACTGCCCCTTCATACATCCTGATTTGCATTGAATTGACAGCAGCTTTTGCCCCTCCTCCAAATATTGATGCAAATTCTCAAGTTATTCTTAAAAGATGAGTATCCAATTGTCCAAATTCTCTTGGTGCAGGATTAAAGAAAATTCATTCCCTGGAACCAAGGGTCTGCCCCAAGTGTATTAATCCCTGCATCACCAATCTTTGCATCTAGCACAGTGCTGTCTGGCAGGTGCCATTTTTATGCTTTACGACTCTGAATCTAATGCTTTTCAATGGGCTGCATCAAAAGGCTTTTGATGCAGCTGCTTGGCTGCAAACACAGTTAACCATTCCTCCAAATACGTCTGCAGAAGAAGTCTTCATATCAGCTATAGTAGCTGAAATTTAAACTGGTTTAACCGCCTCTATTAAATTATTTTAATGAGCTTAATATATCAAATATAGCTTTTATGCAGACTTTACAACTGCAACTACAACTCAAATACGAAGAATCTGTTGGTGAAAATGAGAGGAAAGTAGCAGATAGGTTTTTATTAAATTTCCCCAATACTCTGATCTTTAATAGGAGGTATCGCCTCAACATCCAGATGTCCAGAAATACAAGTCCAAAAACCTCAATGAGTGTTGAATCCTCCTAAATTATTTAAGATTAAAATTAACTGGCTACTAAAAGTTACAGTAATTTGATTTTTTTTGCGCCATCACCATAATTACAATTCAACTTCCCCACATTCTCTATAGCCTTATGCTGGATGATATTCACCATTATGAGTTTCTTTTTAGGTGCGTAGCTGGGAGAAAAGACTCCGACTGGCAGGAGAGGATCACTGTGTGGATAAACTTTGTTCTCTGGCTGAGGAGCATCTCAGCTGCTACAACCAACATCTACCTAAACCAGGTATATTTTCATCATTGTTTGGTAAGAAATGCAAATTAGAAACACAGCCCCCCTAAAAAATCTAAAAATAAAAAATAAAAAATTTTATGTAATTTCCATAATGCTGCTATTGTTGCATTGTTTTTCAATATAAACCATATATCTCACTAATGATTATACTGTCTTCTTCAAAGTCATTACGGTTTTTAATGAGTTTCATGAATTTCTATTAACCCTCTATCCTGTCCCTGCAGACATTTGACCACGTCTGCTGTTTGTTCTTGTTACCGTCTTGCTTCTTCCGCAGAAAATTATGTTTAGTGTGTGCATTTAATGTTCTTGCCATATTATTTGCTTGACATGACATTTTTTCACATCCTGCCAAGAACTATGGATTAAATCTAGCCTTTTTATCCTTAATCTGGATTTTTGTTACTCTTTGCCCATTTACAATACATATAAACTTAAATGAACATTCTGCTGCAGGACAGCATCTAACTTCTTCAATGTGAAACTCGGTTCTAAAATCCATCAAGAATGAAATAAACCTTCAATATTTTACATTGCTAACATTTATGTTAAATCTGTTTTTCCTAAATGAATCCTTGATGTGGTTCAATGTGATTTTGATACAATAGAAAATCAGAACCGGGCCCTTGTGTCCGTGTCTCGATTCCGACATTGCATCTTATCTCAGCTGCAGCTATTAAAAAATACATGGAAATGGGGCCGTTTGTGGTCGCCTCTGAGACGTCCTCTCGTGTCTAATGTGTCAGAGACTCCAGTTACTGCTGGGGTTCCTTCTTTTTTCAGCTATGCGTGCCTCCTTAATTGCTTGATGACTCACAGAAGTGACATTTTAGACTGATCCAAGACGACCGAATAAGAGTCACTGAAACCGAACAGAGAAAGAACACCAGATCCAGGGAGAGAGGCAGATCTCTTAAAATATAAACGGGAGCTTTAAGAGGCTGAGTGGCTTAAAGAGAGGCTCAGTTTAACCCCATGGGTCATATTGCTGCAAAACAAGAAGGCCGTGTCATGCTACTTGAACACAGATTAAGGATGCAATATTAAACTGGGTTTAATCGTTCTGTTTTTATTTCAAAAGTTATGATTTCTGATACAGTGTTCCCAAATATTTCCTATCAAGAAATCACAAAAATGGGTTTAAACGATTTATTCAGTCATTGATTGAATTAGTGTCTTATGTTGACAAATGAAAAAAAATAAGTTTTGTTATCTGTTGTTTTTGGTCAAAACACATTGAAGCATCCAGCATTATGAAAAAGATATCATATATAAGAAAGCAGAACATAACCATGACATTAAACAAAAAGTTGTAGAAATATTTTATGACCATTTTCATGTCCATCTGAATTCAGGCTCCTCCAATCTATAACCCTATAACATCTATTTCAGTCAATTCCCTTCTCAGTACAAACCTACAAAAGAATGAGATGTGTGAACAGAGCAGTACTGGAAGAGAACTTGTTAGAAGTTGCAAAAATGTTCATACATGTTCAGACTGGGGTTCATCTTCTAACATAACCCTAAACATGCAAGCAAGCACTTATGTTAGAGTGGCCCAGTTCAAGTCCGAATCAAAAACCGACTGAACTGTCCATCGAACTGAGCTTGTTTCCTTCTAGATCTATATAGATGCTACTCCAATGTGAGGCCCACATGCAGTTCAGCAAGAATAAATCCCGTCTGTAAGTTTTTAACTAATGTGTAAACAAGCAGTGCTCTTCTCCATCCACCTTCTGCAGGGGACCAGTTAAAGCAGGAGAATATGGAGTGTCTTCTGCACAGCCTGGAGCAGGCGGCTGCTTGTTACGCATCGGCTATCCCACTAAGTCCCAGAAATGCCAAGCTCCACTTCCTGCTCGGCCTCGTTTTGGAGGAGCAGCATAACTCTTTGGAGATTTACAGCCTTCACAGAAAGGTGAACAAATAAAAAATAAAAAATAAACAGCAGTTTGATTAGTTGCATAAAACATTCAAACTTCTTACATTGAGTCAATTCCTGCTTTGATAGTTTCTAAAAAAAAAAAGTAGGTGTCAAGCGTTTCAGTAACTGCAGCCCACACTTGAAAGGGGCGGACCCATGACTTTAGAGAGCAGTAGAGACTTTTTCCATTCTTTTTATATTCCCCATTTTGTGGTCAGTCTAAACAACAGTCAGGTAAAAACCTTAGGAATATTCAGGACACACAAACTATAAATGGCATTAGAATATTTGAACCTAATCTCCATATATACATGAGAGTTTTACAAATTTCCACAATATTGCACCTTGCCCAGACAGTTAACCATAAATACCATACAATGCAACCCCATAAAGCACAACATGGATACACATTTTCCCAAATATTTACACCACTGCAGCCATTTTCAAATCAAGGTGTACAAATCAAACAAGGACTCCACTCAAATTACACATACTCTCTAAACACAGCGGCAGTAGTAAGATCCTATATAAAAATCAGATTTACCGTCTGTCTCTTTAGTTTTTTTAAATAGGTCCTCAATTCTCTGCAGCTAGTTTTAAGCACTAGTCTCTAACATAACTTAAAAGAATTAGCAGCTGCCTTCCTAGGTGTCATTTATGCCTTTACCAGTGTCAGGCAAAGCAGTTCAGGTGTGTCCACACCAACAGAGCCCCACCCTGGGCTGCCACCAATTAGCAGGTCAGTGCAACAGTAGGCATTCATGCACATTTACACAGAAATAATTTCAGTTCTGCAGTGAATAGCAAGTTAAACATTTTCATGATGGACACCAGATTGTGGTTGTGTTATAAAGCTTTAATGATGCTGAATTATACAACGGTAAAATTAAAAAAAGTTATTTTGTCTTCCCTAGGGTTATAAGGATAGTGAGGGGTTAAGTGATGCTAAATCATCCGCCTATCAGGATGAGATTCTGGCAGTGTGTAAGCTGCATGGTTTCTTTGGCACGCCCACTGTGGAGAACCAGCTGCGGGCCTTGGATAAGGAGTACCACCTGCTGAGACAGCAAGGACAGTCCAACAAATCAGACTACATACAGACCCTCTACATCTGGCTGTCCAAGAATGCTGGGAAGGTAACTCCTCACTTTAAAAACAATCTCTAAAAACTGGCACCCAAAAGGTTTACCTCAGGACTTCAACACACACATCAGAAATGTCTTTTGAGCTTTTACAGATTTAGCAGAACTAATTTTTTACATACAGTATTATTTATCAAGCACTTGTCCACACTCCTTTCCAAATAGCCCAACAAATTAATCCAGTAAAGATTTTCTTAGTAAAAACTTTTCTCTAGTGATGTGAACAGCTTTAAATGAAGGTTTTGGGGCATTTATTGTTTCAGAATCGCAATGCAGGGATTCAAGATGAGGAGAGTTACATATATCGAGCCTTAATGAAGCACCTGGATGCCTGGTCTCTGAGTCCCGACAGCTGGGAGTTCAGCCTCCATGTAGGAAGACTTCTGCTGCTTCAGGGGAGAAGCAGGGAAGCTCTACAGCACCTTCAGACCGGGCTGGCGCTGCACCCCCTGCACCCTGCACTTAGGTACAGAAGGACCATCTCATGCTAGAAACTACAGAATATAGTATGTTGTTTTGGGGTTTTTTTTGGGTTTTTTTTGCACAATATCACAGAGAAACAGGAAAATCTTTCCTCTCTTCATCCCCATAACCCTATTGTGATCCTTGATTCCCATCAACCCAATGTATCAGAAGAGCCTCAATTAATGGCACCTGAAAACCTTAAAACTAATGCAACAACCAGTGGCGTTTAATATATAGTGCATATCTAATGTTACAGTACTTTAGCATGAGTTTATTGACTTATCCTCTCAAAACCCACCATTATAAAGCATTTACAACTAATAACTCAGAATGCATGAAAATTACACTGGTAGAATGTTTACCAGTATAGACATGTTAGACATCGTTGGAAAGCTTCCATTCTCCACAATTCAACCACCAAGTTAATTTTATGGACACAGCAAGCACCAAAGCATAATTAACACAGATTTAGCAGCATGTCAAAATGTAAATATGACAAAGCAGCCACAACAAGCAAGAATGTCTTTATTACTGCCGTTCAAAAAAGACCTATTTTTTTCGAGAATAAAATAAAAAACTTTGAGTGTTGTTTGAACTGATGCAGTTTGTGCTTGATGCAGCTTCTGTGTTTTACTCACCCAATTTTCATGTATATATTCAGAAACTAGAAGGTGTTAGCTTTCAAATAATGTATCACACATGTACAATTTGGCTTACAGTTCCTGTTTTTTGTTGTTCCATTTGAGTATGCAAAATAGGCGAGAATTTCCCAAAATGAGGTGAATGTTAAGAGGTTGATACTAGAACATAAATTTGATTTTTTTTTTCACGTATGTCCTTCTTACAATATTTGTCCAAATGTGCCACTTTAAGAGCTTTCTGGATACTTTTTACATGTCAAATCATGCTGGCTTAAACATATATATAAATGTACTCTTTATCAGACTATATTGTCCCAAAAGTTACAAAATTTCTATTGAAAAAATAATCCTGTGGGGTTTTTTTCTCGTTATTGTATGCAGGCCAGTTAGTTATATGTCGATTGAAAACCTAAATTTGGCCAATCATATATCAACGGTCATCTGTAAATCGTATTGGTCACAGCTAATCTAAGCAACGGTTGAAATAAATAAGAATAATTTCCTTTCCCATTGAGTTCCATCCCAGTGTTCACGGGGATGGACGTCTGTGTCTTCAGCAGGCGTAGAGCTAACAGGACTGGCAGCGTTGTGAGGCAAGGGCTCAAACATGTACGGCTGTAAGCCTTCTACACCAAACCAAGCTTCTGCCTAAATCTAAAACTAAATCTTCCTTCACAGTCAGCACTGGATACTTGAGACATCCTATCTTGGAGAGATTAAACATATTCATTCAAATACAACTCTTAAATGTCTTATTTTTATTATTAAACTGATTTGATAGTTATAATTGAAGCTGGCATTAAAGAGTAGTGAGATCATGACTAAACATGGACCAACTATGAATCCATTAAATTGTGCTTCATGAAATGCTTAAGAATTTTATTTTTTTTTTTTTATAATCCAATCTGGCTTTGACCTCTCATAGATTTATTCATGACCTGTTTGCTGCATTGCATGGTGCTGTGTGTTCAGCAATGTTCAAAAGCGTGGCTTAGGGACCATTTCTAGTCTATACTAAATACTGCTCGGAAGTCTTTATATTTGTTGTGCAACTTTGAAATATTTATTGCACACCTAGTATGGGCAGTATATAGATCAGTGGTCTCCAACCCTGGTCCTCAAGATCTACTGTCCTACAGATTTTAGATGCATCCCTGCTTCAACACAGCTGAATCAAATGATTGATTACCTTTTCAAGCTGATTCATTTGATTCAGCTGTGTTGAAGCAGGGATGCATCTAAAATCTGTAGGACAGTAGATCTTGAGGACCAGGGTTGGAGACCACTGATATAGATTATTTAATTAGATAATATTCGGACTGTTATATATTGTTTGTAAACACACACCCTCCTGGCTGTGCATTAGAAGAACAAATGAAAGCATGAAATGAGCTCAAATTATGATCAAAAAGATAACTGCAGATATATGTGATAAATTCACCACAAATACCTTTCAAAACATAAGAGTTTAATATAATAAACATTCAGTTCCAAGTCAAACATATTTCAGTGGTTAACATGGTTGAAAACCATCATCAGTAAGATGATTCATAGTTTAGCATGGATTTTAAGTCTGAGAGCCAAACTTAATCCCATTAGGAGAAAAAAACAACACTGCATGTAACACAGAGGAGAAAACGGAGATACTCAAAAACATTGTAATTCTATGTGTCCAAATGGAATTCCTGAAAAACTACCAAAACCCAACATACAAACACTAACTCAGACAAAAACTGGTTCTTCCTAAAGACAGAACATCCAAACCTAACTTGTGCTGCATTGTTTATGCGATGCAGCGCAGTAAGGATTGCACAGCCTCCTACAGTATATTAGAGAAACCAAACAACAATTGCACAAATGCAAGGAGCTGCACAGGAGAGCCAGTAGCTCTGGACAAGTTTGGCTTTAAACTTGCACCTCAAGAGCAAAGGATACACCTTTGAAGACCAAATTGTCCAGATTTTGGACAGAGAGAACAGATCTTTTTTTGATAGGCGTCAAGGAAGCCCTCTTTGTAAAAAGAAAAAAGCCATCACTAAACAGAGGAGGGGATGTGGTTTCAGCTTCCAAGCATTTCAAATTTAGTCATAGGACCCATTCCAAAGAGATTAGATAAGCACTCTCATTATGATCCAAAAAAACAATCACACAGCCCATGCACAGCAGAGTCCCCAACAATCCAGAAGAAGAGAGCAAGGGGCGGCATTTTGATATGCATCTGTTCAGGAGCTGCTTTAATATATCAGTGCTCCAACTAGTGATTGTTCTGGTGTGAGCCAACAGGATGGAAAAACTCTCCTGGACAATTTTTAAAACTCCTTAAAAAAAAAACAGAGTGGAAGTCTGGTTGCCTTCCAATTTAAACCTGTTTGTCGTGATCAAATTAGCTTTTAACTCATTTAGAAAAACTGGAATGTTTTCAAACCAATTCATACTGCAAATCCAAGAGGGGAATAAAACATTATTTGGCCAAGGCAAATAAGCTCCTCCTCCTGGTCAGAAGACCAGTGACAGCCAGAAAATTTCTATGGGGGTGGCCAAGCAGGAACCAATGTTGTCTGAGGGGGGGTAAAAAACTGATAATCACTAAAACCAGTCTAGAGTCAGTCTAAAATGATCACGCTGCATTAACTGGAATTTGAACAAGAAAAACATCCATGTGTCCCAAATAAATCTGTTAAGACAGACTAAGTTTTCATGAAGCCCTAGCTAGCACATATTTATACAAACATAGTTCTAAAAAGAGTGAGTTCCGTTTTTTTTTATTATTATTATTCAATGTTAGTATATTGATGTTTATAATATATTAATTACTATAATTTTTTTGTAAATTTTTATTTAGAGTTGTGAAAGAAATCAAGGTGGTAATGTATGTTTTAATGGGAAAAACATATTACTTAGTAAGGGTGGCCCTGGCCACCCATGGCCCCCCTTCTAGCTTGCCCCTGCAGATGACCATAATAGGAGGGAAATGTAGGATTCTGTCATAAGTGTAGGAAAGTGACCCTCTCAACTATAAAACCTGGACCATCTGGTTATATAGTTTTCCCACAAACAGACTAATAACTACAAATATTTGTTTTTTTGTTATTGTTTTTTTTGTTGTTGTTTTTTTTTATTTTTTATTTCTCGCTTTTGTTGTTGGACACGGACAATAAAAATGTATAGATAAACAAAACAGAAACCATTCATTCCAAAAAGTAAGAAACATTTTTTTTAGAAAATTACATCCTTTCTTTTCTTTAATTTATCTCCTCAGACGTTGTTGTTTGAGTTAAACGCTAAATGTTTTATTAATGGCTATGCAGGTAAAAAGGATCAAATTCAACAAACAATTGTATTTTTAATTTTTTTAAAACAAGCAAAAGAAGAAAGAGATTCCTCCAAACACATTGGAGTTGGTGATCTTGTGAAAAAAGGGATCTAACCCTCACCCTGCCCTTTTGAAAACCATGTAAGGGCTGTGCATACTTTTGCAACACAGTCTCACATCTTCATCTTGTCTTCAGCACTGACTGTGCTTATTGCTTTATTCCAGATTCTTCACAGGACTGGCTCTGTTGCAGCAGGAGGAGAAAGCTTGTGAGGTTACAGAGAAGGAGGCTGCTCTATTCTTACATCAGGGACTGGAGCACTTTGTCAGCCAACGCTGTAGCAAGAGGTTTGTTAAGTGTGTGTTTTGTTTGAGTGTGTGGCGGAGGTGGATGCATTCAGGGAGAGAGGGAAAGTGTGAGGTCATGACAGCATGTGTAATATATCAGGATGTTCTGTTCAGGCCTGCAGGAGGGAGAATGGGGAAGGTTTTTTATATTGATTTTTTTTTTGTTTTAAAAATGTAGAAGTTTGAGATTTTGTTTATAAATTCCATTTGTATTTCTTGTTTTATTATTTATTTCTGCAGTCAGAAGAAGCAGCGCATGTCAGACCCCCTCTGCAGCCTGAACGCCCAGTTTCTGCGTGGGCTGCTGGCCCTTGGGCAGCTGCAGCAGAAGAGCATGCTGTCTGAGAAGTCCATGACTCCTGAGCAGGTTTATCACACGTAGGTTACCTATGGAGACACATTATGTCACTTACAACCACAATTTTATATCAAAGCTTAACTTAAAGTAAACTCACACCCCCAAAATTCAATGGCAAAAAACAACCCTCTTTCCTCCCAATCAGTTAGATTCACAGAAGCGTTTGTAAAAACGCCTCCAGCTCTCCGGTCCTTATGTGACAACGATATCTAACACTGCAGCCAAACTTCCCTGGACTTTGAGTAGCTTTTCAGCTATGAATGAACACCATATCCTGGTTGGACACAGATTTTAGCATATGCCAAGTACATAATTTTGAATTATGTATAAAACAAACAAAAAAAGATTCAATCTAATCAGGTTGTTATTAATTAATATAAACAGTCAGGACAAACTAAATCATATGAATAAGTTTACTTTTACACCTCAAAGCCATTCCCCCCCCCAAAAAAATTTAAAATTTCTGTCCTATTGATGAGAGGGAGGGTCCAACTGAGCATGTTCAGCACACTGCTGCCAACTGTTTAGCGAGGAAAGTTATTCCCTGTCTGAAAAAACGCTAGATGATGTCATAAACTTGCAAATTTCAAAATCCAGGTTTTAGAAGAGAGGATTATCAACTTCATCCTGATAGAAAGTGGTTAAAAACACTCTAAATATGTTGAGAACTAAAAATGAAAAACAAATCTACATCAATACTCCTTAAAGGGTCATAGAATGACTCTATAGGGTATTTGGTGCAGGTCCTTAAGGTCTCTGAATAGTGTGTAACATTGGTTGGGCTG